CCATGCATACTATACCTATGACACTTATTTTCAGGTTGATGCAAATTCTTGCTCTTTTCTTGTTTGAGTTCATTGTGTTTCCTTTTTTGGTGCTATATATGGTAGGTTTCCTTTTGAATGATTGTCTCTTCTCCTTTTCCATTTATTTTTTTCTATATCTATATCCTTGGGTCTACTTATCTTTTAGATAAAAGGTTCCATTTATTTCAGGGAACGGTTTAGAAATTATAGGATAAGATTGATGATTTTTTATCAAAAGCTTATTATTTTGTTCAACCACGAGAAGACATGAAAATTAGTTCCAAATATATCTTGAAATTGCTTCTCTATATAGTTGTTACAGGACAATATTTGAGGCATGAAAAGTAAAGAATGTTTTCTCTAATATTTGATCTTTTATGATATTTTCACTATATAATTTCAATTGCAAGGTAATTTTAAAAGAGCATAATTATATTCATTAACCAAGTTAAAATCTTACAACCTCATATGCAACTAATCATAACAAGCTTGAGGGAGTATAATAAACTTTTGGTGGTCATATATTTCCTTTAGATTTTACCACAGAAAAAGAGAATATTTTATTATGAGATGTTCAACTTTTAATCCTTCATGGAGGGGGTGGTGAATGAAAATTATTACTGTTTCATGATTTTACGAGGATATGTTATTTTCTTTTTTGATGGTCTCTCTAAGATTCATATCTTTCAAATAAATCTCAATGCCAAGGATTCATATAAGAAGTTATTTCCACATATCAAAAGCAATAAATTCAAGTTTTGTCAGATTTAACATTATCTATAAAAACAGAAACAACTTATTAAATAAAATCATGAATATAAAAGGAAAAAAAAAAATCAGTCTTTTTAAGGCTAGTATTCAGTTCTTTAGAAATACTAGTTCTTCAAGAACTGTATTTAATTTATTTAATTCTTTAGAAACTTACAATACTGGTTATTCAGAAACTTTAAATCTCAAAGAATAAAAAGGAAATAAAATTTGTTAAAACAAGTTACAGAGTTAAATATATTCCATAAAGTATAAACAATAATGAAAAGAGAAAAAAATATTGAAATTAATACAAGTTATATAACATAAAAGTTCATGTGTGTCAAGTTTCAATATAAATTAAATACAGTGATCGAGTTGATAACGTGTTAAAAAAACAAGTAAAAACATAAATATTCAAAATAAAACTTAAAAGAGAAGTTCAAACAATTTCTCATATATTTTTATCAATAATTAGAATAGAAGACAAATACTCTATTTATAGGAGAAGATAATAATAGCATTAAAGGATATTAGAAAACACAAGTGTCATGGAAAACTAAGAAACTAAACTCGAGTAATTAAGTTTATGAGATTCTAATCGGCATTCAATATATATAATTATAAATTTTATAACAGAAAAGATGTTCTTCTAATATTCTTAAAAAGCCGCAATAATTTTATTTGGTAAAGAGCAAAAATTAAATGGGAGTGTGATAATCCTACAGAAAGAAAAATAAAATAATTAAAGACAATTCATAATAAATCAAATGTTGAAAGATGAAATAAAAAAATTAATTAAAAAAAAAGCAAAATAGATATCCAAGTTAGTCTGCTAAATACACCTTGTATGAAATTATTTTGAATAAACAACAAAATTCAAATCTCAAATAACACAATATTGAAAGATAAATTAAAAAAAAATCAATTTAAAAAAACAATGGAGAAAGAAGACTTGAGTCAACTAGGGTAACCCGCTATACTCATGATTTGGGACAAGATCGAGATAATTTCATAGAAATAAAAGTGAAAACAAATCATGAAATTTAATCTCCAACTAACTAAATATTAAGAGATAAAATTAAAAAAATATTTTTAAAAAAAAATATAAAAAAATCAAAATCAACCCATATTAATTTTTAAAACTCGTAACCTTGTTTGTGAGTTTAGAACTAACCCCATAAAAAATAAATGTAAAAAAATCATGAAATTAAATCTTCAATTAATAAAATACAAGAAATGAAATTAAAAATAAAATAAACAAAAAAAAAAGGGTAAAAACAAGAAAAAAAAATGCGACTATATTATTGTCCCATTCAGGGCCACACAAACATACCATGTATCATGTACCACGCAACGCACTGCAAATCACATCTCCAATTTGGGGTTCCATAAGTAAGCATATTCCTACATTATTGCACTTTCTTTTCACTCGGCATATGTTATAAGACTCTCTTAAATGCCATTGCATTGTTGATGTTATAATCTTTTATGCTTTAAAAAATCAGCCTATTTGTTGTGTCAGGTTATAAGAAATTTCTTTAATAACCAATCACCTACATTTACATTTGTGCTTTGGAAACTTTTTTGTGTTTTTCATTTTGTTTGCATAGTTCATGTGCATGTACTTCACTCATATCCTTTAAATGTTTGTTCTTGCTTTAGACGAAGATTATTAACTTCAGCTCCTATTGCCTTTTCATATTTCTCACAAAACTTTGATCGTTTCGTTGCAGGATGACAAACCAACAAATGTGTTTGTTCAATAGTAGAGTAAATAGCATCTCTGTCCTCGTCTTTCTACAAAAACTTGAACCCATCTCTCCATTTGCACATATCTTTATTTAAAATTTTTGTATGAAACTTTATGATTTCTTTTTAATTAATATGGGTATTCGGAATAATTTATGTATATTTTAATTAAGTTTAGAGATTCTAAAATTAAAAACAATATATATTAGCTATGAAGTTTACAAAACCCAATCTGATAATCTCACAATAATCAATTTAAAACTTAACATACATTTTGAGTTTATGACTTTTACTTTGTTTTGTGTTGTTCAACAACATACAATCCTATACTTTTGCTATTGTGCTTCGTGGTTTCCTCCACCTTTGCAGCATAAATTATGAAATCGTAATTCTTGCCTTTGGCTTATAAATTATGCATCTGCTTAGACTGCTATATTTCATGTATTCGTTACTTTGTTAACACACCAAGAGATAGCCAGCGAAGTAGCGCGGACACCTTATCCAGCGCAAACTAAACAATGGCCCCTCCTCTAGGCCTTGGCTTCACTCTTGTACGTAATAGAAGCAACAAAACTCAACAAAACAAGACTACTTCATTTATATGCACACAGCTCACAATATGGCAACCAAGTTCCAATTCCCAACGCATGAAAAAGCCCGCTTCCAAACTCGTTTGATTTCATGTTTGTTCTTTCTATGACAAGTTATAACACCTTTTGAAAGCAAATCCAGGCATTAAAATAGCAATCCCTGTAAGGTTGTTTAAATGTTTGGCCAAGTGGATAGAAACTCCCACTTGTTACCAGCTTTTTACCTTTCCTCTACGTGACAGCTCGTGAAAATATTTGGCCAATTAGAGATCGACAAAGTCTACAAACCCCAGACTTGCTCACTGCATTTACTGACCCCGCGTGCCCCCTCCTGGCCTGAACCCCCTCAGTTCTTGCATTCACCTTGACCTATGTTTTCACCACGGTAATAGCAACTTTCATCATTTTTTTTATCAGAGAAATAAAAAAAAAGTTACCTTTCTCTCTGCAGTCCAATTCAAGGGGACTCCATGGGTAATAGATAAGAGAGAGAGAAGAGAAGGGGGTTGAGGTGGGAAGTGCAGTGATTGTCATGTCTTAAAGCAACAACGTATGTACCGTTGTGTATTTTGACTGGAATTTGTACTCACTATCTTCATGATATCTTTCTGAATCAATGCCATAGCATGTACTTCCCACCATATGCTTGATCTTTCCTTTGATTCAGTCCCCATTTATTACAGGGTGGGGACAATGGTTCAGGGACCGAAGCAACACACAATAGGAAAACTACAAGCAAAACCCACCGCGAACCACCATGGAGGAAGAATGCACTAGTGCTTTGTACAGGTATGAAGGAATGTATCAAGCTAACAGCAAGAGATATTTTATGATATCTGTTTTTTAATTGTATCATGTGACATATTACAAAAGTTCATATCAAATGCTATATAATATTCGCAAATAAGTTGCACGCAACTTGATTGAGGTTAGATTTCGAGGTACGAAAAACATAATAGTAGTTCTATTTTATTACTTTTTCTCTGTTTTAAAAGTATTTAAAAAAAAAGTAAATTTTTTATTTTTTTAATTAATATTTTTTTAGTATTTTAAATTATTAATATTAAAAATAATTTTTTAAAAATAAAAAAATATTATTTTAATATATTTCTAAAATAACATTCAAAAATCAATCACTTTCTGTCGTGCGAAACTCTCTTACGGTGCATGAAGAATGTGCGTGAATCGGATATTAAGAATCAAGAAATATTCTCAGCTTTTTTCTTTTTTTCGAACTTAAAACATTGTCAGCCAACTAGCCTCGAAGACGTACAGCATTCTATACGCATGCATTTCAGTACATTCATGATAGTTAGGTTATGGTTTGATGAGTCCTAACCAATTGTAATGTGAAAAGAAGATAGATCAAATGGGTTGTTGACCATGACAAGAAAGACAAGACGACTCAGTAACGAAAGCCACTAGATCATGATAATAATAGTACAGTTATCTAGCCTGCAGCAACAGTTGAAGGCTTTGGATAGAGTTTCTTGCTTCCATTCAGGCATAACTGGGTGCTTTAATTGCTTGGGAGAAGATGAGCAATTGAACCCTTACAAAGGGTAGTGGACCCCTGACATTAAATTCCCAAAGATCTTAGTTACGTTGGCGTCAGGTCACTTGTTGCAGAAAACAACATGGTCACAGTAGCCTAAACCGTGACAGGGTTCTGCACCACTGCCAGTGCCCCTCTCTTTGTTCATCAGGATTTCTAAGAAACCTGCAAACAATCTATGTGAACCCGATCAACTCTTAAGAGAAATGTAAGCATATGTTTACACACAAACGCCATTAATGAAACAATAAAACCAAACCAAGGAAAGGGAAGAGCTCAGATCGATATAGAAGATTCATAGATATTAAATAAATTAAGGAGGTGTAGTCTAAAATTCGCGCAAACATCAGGCAACATAAAATAAAAGTACTATTACAAAACTAGCTGTCCAGAGAAATACAATTCTATTTTAGTTGCCTTTATTATAGCAATAACATTCTCTAACTAAATTTCACTTTCATAAACATCACCTACACAATTTTGGAGAACTAAGAAACACATGCTGCAAGTCATCTAACACAATTTTTCACCTAAATGCTTGCCCAGGAAAGTTGTTGAACATTTTATTCATCCTAATATGATGGACGCGAGGAAGGGCCAGGCCAGTGCACAATATCAGGAGGAGGCATCTGGCAATTGACGGGGGCTGGATTAGCCAAGCCATAAACAGCCATGGACATACCAGTGCTAACACAAGACTCACTTGCGGTACCACCACCACCAACATTACTAGGTTTAGTCTCTTGATCATCCTTATCGTTCTCATATGGTAGCCTGTGAAACGTAGGGTTCACGAAAGTAGCAGCCACCACCACAACTTGATTTGCAGCTATCACCTTGCCAGCCACTATCCCTCCAAAAACCTGCCCTTGTGCCCCTGCAAGAGATATCCCAAAAGAAGAGCAAGAATACACAGAACCAGGAGAAGAAGAGGAAGAAGCGCATGGTACTTTATTCGATGCAAAAGAACCAACAAAAGAGCCAAACAGTGCAAGCAAGTTAAAGGGTCCATGTAAAGATAGAGAAGGAGCATGAGAAACTGGGTGGCTAAGAGTAACATTAGATACAGACCCATTTGCACTCATAACACTTATGCCCGCATGGTTTCTACGAGCAAAGTTGATTATAGTTTCGATTATATCAGAACCAGCGGAGATCTCGAGGATGACTGGTTTCATGGAGGACTCGCAGTCTTTGGTGATGATAATGGGCGGTTTGGGCCTGTTTTTCGAGCCAGGTGGTCTACCTCTTGGCTTTCTCTGAATCTGAACTGATTGGATTCTGATGTCCTCGTGGTGGTGGTGCTGATCGTCAGGAGAGGTATTGTTGCAGGGTCCACCAAACCTTGATGGAGAGTCGGTGGACACAGGAGTGGTGGAGAATGTAGGGACACTTCTTGGACTATGCTCGGAGGAGGAGTCGTCAGAGGTGTGAGACAGTTCTCTTGAGAGAGAGATTGCACCTTCAAAGTGATCAGCCATTTCATGGGGAGGATTTTGTCAAGTGAGAGAGAGAGAGAGAAGGCTAATGGAAGAAGCAAGGAAAACACTGTTTCTTTAAGGTTGCTTTATAGTCAGGATTTTGAGTATCCAGAGGAGAGGCTGGCACATACGATACGAAGGAAGGTGGGGGACACCTTAGTCTTTCGGGGAGGGGGGGCTCTTTGAAATGATGGGTATCATAGAAGCTGGTCTAGAAATAGAGTGGGGTCAGGGAGTGTACGCCAATCTCTTTTGTGTTTTCTTGGGAGTTTGCTTGCTTGGACGTGGCTCGGTTGGGTCCTCCTCACCTCTCTGTTTTGTTAGTTCGCCGTCGGTGAGTAGTGTTTTTTAAATTATTTTTTATTTATAAACATATTAAAATAATTTTTATTTTTAAATTTTTCTTAGTTATAATATATCAAAATAATTTAAAAATATAAAAAATTAAATTTAAGTAAATTTCTATTTGGACCAATGTCTGGTGAAATTGTTCAATAAACACAATTCCCGGTGCAAAATAATTAGAGCATCTCCGATCAGAAATACAAATAAAAAGCCAAATACAAAAACATATACTTTTATTTTTAGTTTTTTTATTAAGTTATTATAATAGAGCAAGCAACAGAAAAGCCAAAATAACTTTTTAATTTAAGAAAAGGTATTTCTACAGGTTCTTGTATAATAGACAAAATTAAATTAACGTTGACAGCGATTATTTTTATAGCCGCTGGTCAACAATATTTATTTTTTCTTTAAAAGCAAGGAAAGAATTTTTTTTTTTTAAATCTTGTATTGTACCTCACTCTTCTCTCAAATTTAGAAAAACAAGAATCAATTATTCTCTAGTTAATTAATAACATCATTTGTATTAATTAGCTGAAATTCAAAGATATGTTTATTTAAAAGCTTTTTATATTTACTCTTTAATATCTCTTGATTTTGTAGATTTTTTATTGTTAATTTGATATTTGTGATAATATTTATTTCTTTGTTATTTTATGTTTTTGATATGGGTTAAGGAAAATAATTTTTTATTTATGTTGTTATCTTTGACAAAATTAAGGGGAAGTAATAATGGTAGCTGATATTGATAAAAATATAGAGTGGTATATTTAAAATTTATTTTTGGTTGTTTATTTTAATTTGAGGTTAATTATATTTTTTCTTGTTGAAAATGCAATTAAACCACTATATTAATCTTCTCTTAGTTCCAAAAAATAGTTAAATTGTAATATTAGAACAAGTAGGATGCAATGCTTGTTATTAATTCACATGTATATAAACTATAAAATTGCTAGACATTGAATGTGCGCTTCTTTTACACTCTCTTATAAGGTTTTAACTTGAAGTTTTTTTTAATGTAGATGGATTCAAATTTTCCAAACTCTTTCGCCAACTTTCTTATGAGTGAGTCAGAAGATATTCTTTCTTAACCAAGTGATTCTAATCAATTAATTGATGACTTAACATACTCGAATTTGAATGTCCATACAAGAAAAAAAACACAAAGAAGTAAAAACTTCTCACCAGAGAAAGATTGTTTACTTGTCTCTGCATGACTAAATACAAGCAAAGATCCAATTACAGGAGTTGAACAACAAACAAATCAGTTCTGGGCTCAAGTACATGCTTACTTTGTTGAGAATGGAGGAAACTTGAATAATCGTTTCCAAATAAGCATCTCAAATAGATGGCAAGAAATA